TTTCTTTCTTTCTTTCTTTCTTTCTTTCTTTCTTTCTTTCTTTCTTTCTTTCTTTCTTTCTTTCTTTCTTTCTTTCTTTCTTCCTTCCTTCCTTCCTTCCTTCCTTCCTTCTTCCTTCCTTCCTTCCTTCCTTCTTTCCTTCCTTCCTTCTAAATTAGATCATAGGAAGTTCTGTACTGTTCACTGCATGGGCTATTTGAGGAGCTGGCCTCTGAGTGTAGTGGGACTGGAAGAGGAGAAGGACAGCCAGAAAACCAGCAGTAACTTTAACTGCCTTGTGGCCATTGGAAGACTACATCCATATACTGTCCCACAGAACAGTGGGGAAATTAAAGTCAAGCCAACAGAGTTTGTTACCCGCTTTGCCACGAATGGAAAGTTTGTCTATGTGGATCAACGGTAACCAATGCAATAACAATTAGAATTGCAAGTGGTGGTGCAGATGTAGCCCATCTGGATTGATTTAATTTGTAAAGGAAAGGCTTGAATAAAATGAGATCTTTTATTGATTTGTCAGCAAAATTCTAACTTAAGCACGATCACTACAGTGTATCTCAGTCAATGATGTGAGATGGAGAGGCAGCCAAAAGCCACAGTTTCATTGACCTGGGAATAATAATCACTATGTCTTTGACTAGGTTGGGACACAAGAAGATCTGCCTCCTACCCTGAAATTTCCGGTTGTGCTATAACATTCCAGCATGGAATCTGAGAGTCTGAAGAGCCCAAAGAGTACATGTGAAGAACATGCTTACTGCCTGTGTGACCTTGGGCAAGTCACTTAACTTCCTTAGGCCTCAGTTTCTTCACTTATTTAATTAGAGGGTTGAACTAGATGGCAGTAAGGTCTTTTCCCACTCTAGATCTATGATCCTATAATCCTATGAAACTCCCAAGTGTCCTTGCCTTCTACTCTCGTGTTGACCTACTGTGGTTCTCCTCTAACCAGTGGTTGGGGAGGGGAGGAAGAACAAGCATTTATTAAACACTGACTATGTGTCAGGCGCTGTGCTGCTTTACAAATATTACCTCGTTTAATCATAACAACAACCTGGGAGGTAAGTGTTAATATTATCCCCATTTTACAGTTGAGGAAACTGAGGCAGACAAAGTGGTTAAGTGACTTGCTCAGGGCCACACAGGCAATATAAATAAATTAGGAATAAGGGCTACATTTGAATTTAGCTTTCCTGACTCTAGACCAAGCACTCTCTCCATTATGACATCTAATGACCTCGATAATAATAATGTAAAAGTAGAAGCGACCAGTGATGTCAAATGCAAATAAAAAACAGATCCCTGGCTACCACATATTGACATAGAAAACCACAAATTAGCATTATCCATGTTGAATTATATTTTTATTTATTTTGTTAAACATTTCCCAATTACATTTTAATCTGCTTCATCTGCACTCAGGAGTTTTGTGGGCCACATGCACAGTGGGGAGGATTGACACCTTCAGTGTAGATTGTTCTTTAGAATGAGGAAGTTGTGCATTCACCAGCTCTGAATTTTATTTTTTTTCTGTTTAAAAAGGGCAACTGCAATTTTAGGCTATCTTCCACAAGAACTTTTGGGAACTTCTTGTTATGAATACTTCCATCACGATGATCACAGTAATCTAACCAACAAACACAAAGCAGGTACGCAATGAATGGGAATTTTCTCTGTAAAATCTTTCTCCTTATTTTTCTTTTCTCTGTCTCCTCCCTCTTTTTTTTCCTCTCCATACTCTCAAATAATATTGAGTCCTAATTTACATAGAACCTACAAGTTCAGAGGCTTGAAAGAATGTGAATGAAATTAATTTTATAACAGTGACCTATTACTTTAAGAATATTACAATAGTCTAAATTTTTTCTTGTCTGTTTAGTCCTACAGAGTAAGGAGAAAATCTTTACTGATTCCTACAAGTTCAAAGCAAAAGATGGCTCATTTATAACTTTAAAAAGTCAGTGGTTTAGTTTCATAAACCCTTGGACCAAAGAACTGGAATACATTGTATCCATCAACACATTAGTTCTGTAAGTAATTTTAAAAATAATTATCTTAGTACCATAATCTGCTCAAAGTCCCATTTCTTATAATGGTTCCTCCTATGACATGATAATAGCTAGAATAACAGTTTTAAGGTTTGCAAAAGACTTTTCATATCTTGTCTTATTTGACTCTCACAACAATCCTGTGATATAAGTATTATTATTATCACCATTTGATGGATGAGGAAACTGAGGCACCCAGAAGTTAAGTGACTTGCCCAGCCAGGATCACACAGTATGCCTGAGATCAGATTCAAACTCAGGTCTTCCAAACTCTAAGTCCCATGCTCTTATCCACTGCACCAGCTAGCTGCCATGGTTTCAAGCCCTTTCCCAATTCTGTTATCTCTTCTTCGGTTATGCTCTACTTTGTTAATGTTTCTCTTAAAATATGGTTAAAAATATAGTTTGTCAATGTTTCTCTTAAAAAGAACTGAAAACAGTACTCTAGGGGTAGTCTGACCAGTATATAATACAGTAAGCCTGTTACCTACCTTTTACTGGGAATTATTGATAAGCCCCAGTTTTAGTTATTTTGGCAGCCATAATACTCTCTGAATTCATTTTGAGCTCGCAGTCAACTAACATCACTAAATCTTTTTCATATAAACTGTCATTGTTATGTCTCCTCAACCTCTACTTGTTCAATTTCTTTTTTAGAAAATTAAGTGTAATCCAGAAAAAGACCTATGGATTCTGAACACAGATCGAAGCATACTATTTGCTCTCTTTTTTTGTTTGTTTGTTTCTTCTTTCTCTTGGTTCCTCTCATTGGTTCTAATTCTTCTTTACAACATGACTAATGTGAAAGTATGTTTAATATGAATGTATATGTAGAGCCTATATCACATTGCATGCCTTCTTGGGGTAGGGGAAGGGGAGAGAGAGGGAGAAAATTTGGAATTCAAAATCTTATGGAAGTGAATGTTGAAAATTAAAAATAAATGAATAAATTTTTAAAAATTAAGTGCAACACTTTATGTTAATCCCAGTTAATTTTCATCTGATTAATTTCAGTTCGTTACACCAACATATCCAGATCTTTTGGGATCCTGACTCTATTGTTCAACTTATAAACTTTCTCCAATTCTATTTCATTCATAGATTTAATAAGCATGCTTTCTTGATCATCATCCAAATTTTTGATAAAAATTTTGGACACAGTGGGACCAAGACTCCCTCTGGAGTAACATCGATTGATCCATTAATCAATATTCTTTGGAAAAAGCTCTTTAACCAATTACACACTCACCTTACTGTTATAGCAGCCAGCCCATCACATTTCTCCATTTCAGCCAAATAGATACTACGAAAGCTTATGAAATATCCTGTTGAAATATACACATACTGTGCCTACAGAATTTCCCTGATATCCATGTCCATGATAACCCCTTCAAAGAAGGCAATTAGGTTTGTCTCCTATCACTTGATCTAAGTTAAACCATACTGGCTCCTAGTTATTACCACTTCCCATTCTAAGTGACAAATCATCTATTCGAGAACCTTGTTATGGAGCAACACCGAAATGATGCCAGGTTCTCTGATTCCTGCCCCAGACACACTCTGAGGAAGTTATACCAAAAAAGTCCCCACCACTGAGCCTGATCAACATTGATTAGTTTCTTGTTGGCATTCTATGTGCCAGGATCCCTGGGTATCTCACCAACATGGATATCAATCAATCATTAAACATTTATTAAGTACCTGATGTATGCCAGGCAATGTGCTAAGTGTTAGGGATACAAAAAGAGGCAAAAGACAGTCCCTGCCTTCAAGGGGCTTACAGTCTAACGGGGGAGACAACATGCAAACAAATATGTACAAAGCATGCTACATACAGGATAAATAGGAAATAATTAATAGAGCTAAGGCACTAGAATTAAGATGAGTTATGTATGTAAACATGGGAAACCTAGCTTTCTAGTTGCCTTTCCTAAACAGCAGTTAGGGCATAAAGATGCACTTGGAAGGCAGGCACCTGCTGACCCTAGGTCACCCTGACCATGCTGTCTTGCTACAGTAAAGGTCTTACTTTAGGCCTTTACATTCTCATTTCATGTTCTGCCCTGGCAGAATAATGGCAGAATAGTGTTTCAGAAAACACTAGCATTTTTTGCTCAGCACTTTTAAGCACCTTGGCCAGTTGTAGTCCAGAAGGGTCTGGAGCAGAAGCATGCTTCCATTTCCCAGCACAAGGGCTGCACCTGCTCCCCTCTCCAATCCAGTCGATAGCAGTGCTGCTTGATCTTCCATTTTAACAACAGGTCAGTTGGCAAAGTATGGCAAGGCAAGAAATATTTATTAAGCACTTAATATGTGCCAAGTACTTGCTGATCACTGGGGATATATACATACATATATATATATATATATATATATATATATATGTAAAAAATGAAAGCTAAAAGAAAGACAGCCTCTGACTTACATTCTAGTAGGGAAACTGGAAAGGAACAGGGTTGGGAAAGGGAAGGTACCCATACTGGGGTGTGGTAGAGAAGTCTGGAGAGTCAAAAGCAAAGCCAGGAGAGGAATGAAGTAGTGCTGGCCTGAGCCTATCCCCGAAACATTGGCCCCTGTAAGGAACTCTTAAGTGAGAGAAGGGTGGAAGGATGGTGGAAGGATGTTCCATTGTGAGAAGGCAACTGAATCATGGTAGCAAAGTCCACAGTCAAAAGCACACCTGGGAATATAGTTTTTAGAATCCACATTTTTTCCCACAAGAATAGAATAGAATAGAGTCCACATAGAATCCACAAGTCTTTCTAGGTTTTTCTGAAATCTTCCTGCTCATCATTTCTTATAGAACAATAGTATTCCATTATATTTATATGCCACAACTTGTTCAACCATTCCCCAGCTGAGGGGTATCCCCTCAATTTCCAACTCCTTGCCACCACAAAAAAAGCTGCTGTAAATATTTTTGTACATGTGGGTCCTTTTCCCTTTTTTATGATCTTTTTGGGATGTAGACCTAGTAGTGGTATTGCTGGATCAAGGAGTATATACACAGTTTGATTGCCCTTTGGGCATAGTTCCAAATTGCTCTCCAGAATGGTTGGATCAGTTCACAACTCCATCAACAATGCATTAGTGTTCCAATATTCCCACATCTTCCTCAACATTTATCATTTTCCTTTTTTGTCATCTTAGTCAATCTGATAGGTGTGAGGTGGCACCTCAGAATTGTTTTAATTTGCATTTCTCTAATCAATAGTGATTTAGAGCCCTTCTTCATATGCTAATAGATAGTTTTGATTTCTTCATCTGAAAACTGCCTGTTCATATCCTTTGACCATTTATCAATTGGGGAATGACTTACATTCTTATAAATTTGACTCAGTTCTCTATATATTTTAGAAATACAGCCTTTATTAGAGACACTGGCTGTAAAAACTTTCCCAGCCTTCTGTTTTCCTTCTAACCTTGCTTACATTGGCTTTGTTTGTGCAACACCTTTTTAATTTAATGTAATCAGAATTATCCATTTTACACTTCATAATGTTCTCTATCTCTTGTTTAATTGTAAATTCTTCCCTTCTCCATAGATATGACAGGTAAGCTATTCCTTGCTCTCCTAATTTGTTTATGGTATCACCCTTTATGTCTAACTTATGTACCCATTTTGACTTTATCTTGGTATAGAGTGCAGCATGTTGATCTGTGCCTAGTTTCTGCCATACTCTTTTCCTGTTTTCCCAACAGTTTTTGTGAAATATGAATTCTTATGCCAGAAGCTGGACTCTTTGGGTTTATCAAACAGTAGATTACTACAGTCATTGACTACTGTGTCTTGTGTATCTAACCTATTCCACTCATCTACCTCTCTATTTCTTAGCTAGTACCAAATAGTTTTGACAGTTGCTAGGAGCTTACAGTCTAATGGGAAATTAGAAAAGCATCACCAGAAAAGCAACTCGTGTAACTTTATGATAGTCTCAATTTATAGATCAAATGTATCTTTTCTCTGGACTTTTAGAAATTTGAATTCCTATAGGACACATGCCTTTAATTGTCATCCTCTTTGGTTATCATAAATTATGAGATAATGTAGCCACTCTCACCCAAGGGGTTTTTATCATCTTTTTACCAAATAACTCTTTCTTATTGGTCAGAATTGTCTAGAATAGCAGCTTACCTCTTCACTACATTTGCCTCCTGAGAGATGACATTATCAGCAGGACAAGTCAAGAATTTATCAGATTATCTCGTGGTAGGGTGGGATTTCTAGATATTTGAAATACTTTACCATATTGGCATATATTCATGCCAGTTTTTATTATATTTATCAGGGAAACATTATTCATCTCTTGCATGTTACTGAGCAGTCTATGGTATATTCCAGTTATAATATCACTTAGTGTATTTCTTCTTTTATCCCAGAAGTTCCGTACTGTATTCCCCCACCAATTTGTCTTTAATTTTCTTCCCTTCCCTTATCCCAGCTTACCAATACTGTCATTCTAAAAATCTTATGCATAGATACATATCTTGGACATAGACTTTATCTTATACGTAGAAATAGAGTTTACACAAAGATTTTTTTAAAACTTATCCATAAGTAATTGTATTTCGATTAACTTTTTTCTTTTCCGTGGTATATGAAATTTTAATATCACATATGGGAGTTTGTTTTTTGCTTAATACTTCATATTTTTAGCAGCTGGAATGGCAGAGCATTGTAGTCAGGAAGACCTGAGTTCGAATCCAGCTTCAGACACTTACTAGCTGTGTGACCCTGGGCAAGTCACTTAATTAACCTCTGTGCCTCAGTTTCCTCATCTATAAAATAGGAACAATAATAGTACCTATCTCTCAGGGTTGTTATGAGGACCAAATGAGATAATATATGTGAAATGCTTTGCAAATCTTAAAGCACTACATAAATGCTATTATTATGGTTTTTGTTGGTTTTTGTACTTTCTTTGTAAGATACTTATGGCACTTCTATCTCACTCTCCATACCTCTGTTTCCGGCACTCCCCAACCATTAACAGAGCATGTGAATGCTTTATTTCAGGTTTACTTTAAACCATGTACACTAATTTATTATCTAAAAGTTTATATCCTCACCTCATTTCTTGTACATTTTTATCCTGTAGGCTTTTTGATTCTGTAAATGTCTCTATGAAATTACAATGGCATTTCTAAAACAGTGATTCTTTTCTTTATCTAGGATAAGTGGTGAAAAAAAAATAAAAAATTTAATACCTTCTGTTAATCTCCTATCACCAACATATCTCTTGTCTTCTTAACGATATAGTTTAGGGCAAAGATAATGAGGCAAATATAAAATTAAGTACCAGGACATGTACTGGATATGGAATAATCTGCATTTATCCAGAGTTATGTTGTGTAATAGGATGACAAATTCTCTCAAAAATGTTATATGTCACGTAGCTCAAAAGTTCTGTGGTTCAATATGGCAATTTGTTTTGCCTAACTATATGTGTGTGTAAAGATATAGATGTAGATATATAAAAATAGGGGGCAGCTAGATGGTCCAGTGGATAGAATGTCAGGCCTGGACTCAGGAAGACTCATCTTCCTGAGTTCAAATCTGGCCTCAGACACTTATTAGCTGTGTGATCCTGGACAAGTCACTTAAACCTATTTGCCTCAGTTTGCTCATCTGTAAAATGAGCTGGAGAAGGAAATGGCAAACAACTCCAGTATCTTTGCAGAGAAAACCCCAAATAGTCACAAAGAGTCAGACATTACTGAAACAACTGAACAACAACATATAGACACAGACACAGATATAGATAGTTAAACATATGTATATGTATATATGCATCCACATATGTATAATCGTGCAAATATATGTGTGTGTGTGTATGTGTGTGTGTGTGTGTGTGTGTGTGTGTTCGTGTACAAGGGATTTGTTTCCAGTGAGGAAAGGGGGAAAACAGATGCTTATTAATTTAAAAAAATAATTTTAAAATGTATGTTTTTTTTACTTTAACAAAAGACTTACAAATATGGTTATACAAAATAATTGCATATAAATTTAATTCCCTAGGACCCAGAACAAAGCTTTGTACATGGTAGGTACTTAATAAATTATTTTTATATTGTTTGTCAAATCAATTTTTTCCCCTAAATTTTAGCATTTTTTAATTTTAGGGGATGTAGAGAATCCAGAGGAACATCACTGCTTACTTGCAGCTCACAGTCATCAGAAGGTAAGATTAGGGGGGTGTGGTTTCTTTTTTGGTTTGGGCCTGTGATTTCATTGGTATAGTGAAGAAATCCCTTCTATGAATGCAGATCAGCAACTCTGTGATGGATAATTTTCTTCTTCTTCTTCTTCTTCTTCTTCTTCTTCTTCTTCTTCTTCTT